GGAGAGTGGGAGGATGGCTTGAGCCCGTGAGGCTGAGGCTGCAATGAACCATATTCACACCACTGTACTCCAGCCTGCGTGACAGAGTGAGACCCTGTCTTAATTTTTTTTTTTTTTAATAATACAGCCTGGGCAACATAGCAAGACCTCATCTCTACAAATAATTTTAAAGATTAGTCTGGTGTGGTGGTGCCTATGGTCCCAGATACTTGGGAGGATCACTTGAACCTGGAAGGTCAAGGCTCTAGCAAGCAGAGATCGCACCACTACATTCCAGCCTGAGTGACCGAGACCCTGTCTCTAAATTAAAAAAAATAAAAAGAATAGACAAAATAGATCAATTGAACAGTCCATAAACAAACCCACACAAATGTAGTCAAACAGTTTTTAACAAAGAGACAAAGGCAATTCAAATGAGAAAAAGATCGCGTGATTTCAACAAATAGTCATAGAATAACTGGACAAATAAATAAATCTCAACCTGTACTTCTCTCATTTTATACAAAAATAAACTCAAAATGGAACATAGATCTAAAAATAAAATTACAATATAAAACTTGGAAAACAAAATAGGAGAACAATCTCTCTGACCCTGGGTTGAACAAAGAGTTCTTAGATAGAATATCCAAATTTTAAAAATAACTTGGTCTTTCTCAAAATTTAAAACTTCTATACTTCAAAAGTAATGAAATATAGAAGTTATGAGGATGAAAAGGCAAGCCAGATTGGAAGAAAACCTTTGTAAATCACTTACCTGACAAAAGATAAAAGACTATAAAGAATTTTCGGGGCAGTGGCTCATGCCTATAATCCCAACACTTTGGGAGGCTGAGGCAAGACAATCACTTGAGCCCAGGAGTTCTTTTCTTTCTTTCTTTTTTTTTTTTTTTTTTAATTGTTTTTCAGATTCAAGGCCTTTGAAGAGCCCAGGAGTTCTGAGACCAGCCTGGGAAACATAGTGAGACCCCATCTCTAATAATAATAACAATAATAATAATAAACAACTCAGCAATTAGAAAATCCAATTTAAAAATGGGCAAAAGGTTCGAACACTTTATCAAAGAAGATATACAGATGGCAAATAAGCACATGAAAAAATGCTCAACATCCTTAGTCATGGGGGAAATGCAAAGAAAAATCACAGTGAGATGCTATTAGAATGGCTAAATCTAAAGATTGACCATACCAAGTGCTGATGTGAATGTAAAGCAACTGGACCTCTCATATATTGCTGGTGGAAATGTAAAGTGGTTCAGCCACTTCAAACACAGCTTGACTGTGTATTAGTTACCTATGACAACGTAACAAATTGCCACAAATTTAGTGGCTTAAAATAACATATATTATTTTACAGTACTATAAGTTAGAAGTCTGGCATATGCCTCCCTAGGCTAAAATTACTCGCAGGGTTGCTTTCTTTTCCAGAGGCTCTAAAGAGTAATCCATTTCCTAGCCTCTTCCAGATTCTAGAGACCACTCACATTCCTTCGTTTGTGGCCTGCTCTCCTCTATCTTCAAAGTCAGCAATCCTGCACTTCTCTGACGCTGCTTTCATTGTTACATCTTTTTTTGATGCTACTCTTTCGCCTCTTTCCTTTTTAAGATTCTTGTGATACAGTGGGACCACCTGAATAGTTCAAAATAATCTCCCTATTTTAAAGTCGTTCTGATTAGCAACCTTAATTCGCTTTGCCATGTAACCAAACATATTCATAGGTTCCAGGGATTAGGATATCTTGGAAGACCTTTATTAGGTCTACCACAGACAGGTCTTTTAATAAAATTAGGCTAAACCTACCATATTCCATTTATAGGTACTTAAGAGAAAGACTTAGGTTGACACAAAACCTGTTTGCAAAGATTTACAACAACTTCATTCAGTCACAAAAACCTGAAAACAAATGTCCTTCAACAGGTTAATGGATAGGTGATGGAACTAACTGTTGCTTGGTAGTTGCATAACTCTCTGAGTTTGAATTGTACAATGAAAATAGTTAATTTCATTTCATGTAAATTAGAGTTAAAAATTTTTTAAAGAAAGGAAGCAATTACATTTCTCATCCATCAGATTAGCAAAAATGTTTAAATTTTACAATGCCAACTGTAGGCAAGGATGCGAAGCCACAGTCACTCATTCATTCAGGTAGGTATACAAACATTCTAGGAAAGCCACCACACATGTGCTCAAGGAAACATGCACAAAGATATTTATTAAACATTGTTTGAAATATTAGAAAACTGAAAACTCTTCAGTAGGGGAACGCATTGCGGTTAGTGGTTACTAAAAAAGAAAAGGGAAAAAATGCATGAGAGAAAGAATCAACCCTGCCCGTTAAGTGATTTGGAGAAGACAACTACTTACTGGTTTATTTAACACTAAAACATCCTAAGTGCACTGAACTTAGAATATGGAGACAAGCATTTTAGTATATGCATGTAGCTCCAAGTCTGCCATTTACTAGCAGTCAGACTATGGATTACTGAACTCCTGCAAGTCTCTCTTTTTCATGGAAAATGAAGAGGTTAGACTATATAACCACTAAGATTACTTCCAACTCAATGATCCTATGATTGAGTAAGAATATGATAAAAAATTATATTCCATTTACAGGTACTTAAGAGAAACAAAGACTTAGGTTGACACAAAACCTATTTGCAAAGATTTACAGCAACTTTATTCCATCACAAAAACCTGAAAACAACTCAAACGTCCTTCAACAGGTTAATGGATAGGTGATAGAACTAACTGCTGCACTTCTAGCAGTGGCTCTTGCCTGTAATCCCAGAACTTTGGGAGGCCAAGGTGGGTGGATCACCTGAGGTCAGGAGTTCGAGGCCAGCCTGGCCAACATGGCCAAACCCTGTCTCCAATGAAAATTCAAAAATTAGCAGGGTGTGGTAACCAGGGCCTGTAGTCCCAGCTACTCAAGATGCTGAGGCAGGAAAATCGCTTGAACTCAGGAAGTGAAGACTGCAGTGAGCCCAGATCATACCACTGCACTGCAGCCTGGGTGCAACAGAGCAAGACTCTGTCTCACAAAAAGAAAAGAAAATTATATTCTAAAGCACATATGCCAAGATAGTATTTTTTCTAGACACCCTGAAATCAGAAAATATCAGAGAAATGGGGAATCTCAGTATTATATAAAATTAATGAAATTTCTTGGACTGTCTGATAAAATTTTATTTAAATTTTTTTCATAACATAGCCCTCAGGAGATCCTGAGAACACGTGCCCCTGTGATGAGATTTTTAATCAAGATTATAATTCTAGATCATGTAAAAACCAAACCCACTGTATGACTTGGGTCACCCTCAGGTAGAACTTATATATTCTCTCCCGTTTTAACATTCTAAAACAAGTTAATGTTAATCAAACCACCTTCACTTGTCAAGTTCAAGTCTGTCTAGCCAAAAAACCATTCAGACACCTAGTAAAACTTACTCGATTTTTTTTTTTTTTTTTGAGACAGAGTCTCGCTCTGTTGCCCAGGCTCGAGTGCAGTGGAGTGATCTCAGCTCACTGCAACCTCCATCTCCTGGTTTCAAGCAATTCTCCTGCCTCAGCCACTCGAGTAGCTGGAATTACAGACCTATACCACCACACCCGGCTAATTTTTTTGTATTTTTAGTAGAGATGGGGTTTTGCCATGTTGACCAAGCTGGTCTCGAACTCCGGACCTCATATGATCCACCCGCATCGGCCTCCCAAAGTGCTGGGATTACAGGCGTCAGACACCGCACCGGGCCAAATTCACCAGATTTTTAAAGATAAAATAATGAATTGCTTTTCCTATTTTTGCCTGTTTCATCTATAAATTTCTTACATTATAATTTAAAAGCTCACCCTGCTGCAAATAGAAAGCTTATAAAGTCTATCCACAATGTACTATGTCCACGGGGATCTAGTAAAAATCGGCAGTTCATAATTCAAGAAAGCTTACTTAATAACTTTCATTACCACCAATACTTATACTTCAAAGACACCAATAACCAACACGTCATTTGTTCCTATTGCAGAATTTAACAGGTAATTAACCTCCTGTATAATCCAAGAGCATAATTAGTAAACTATCATTAAAACATATTTTTAAAATCAGAAATATTAACACCTTTCACTGTGTCAGTCAAATCAAAATTTCACAATTTTTGTTCAACTGACTTTCCAAATCTAAATTCTTTCTATTGTAAACGAGTATGGAAACAAAACACACACTACATACTACATCTAAAAACTTACTAGCCATCAGATTTTAATTTTAGCATAAACTGTCAAGAAAAACCTTTCGACCGAAACCTACATTCCAAACACATTACTGTATATCAATCAAGTAAACAAGGTGAGCTATTATCTTTAGAAAGTTACATAATTTACTACAAAGATCATTTAAACCAACCTTCATTAAACGTAGGTTACAATTTACAGGCTTCAAAGTTCAACGTGCAAACTTAAATTATCAGAAACTATTAACAAAATTAGGCTTTTATTTAAAAGTGGTCACAAGGAAGCAGGAACTGTTTGCGTGTTTAAGAACGCAATGAGTAGCAGAATACCAGCAGCTGACTCAGGCAGAGGGACGCTGAATACTTTCTGACTTCTAAAGGAAAGCTCCCTAGTCGATTTCCCCGACCCGGCCGGGAGAGTCCCGCCGGTCGCGACCTCGGGGCCGGGGCGCAGGGGGAAGATCACTGCCCGCCGCGCCCCCCGCACCTCCGGCCGGGCCGGCTGTGGCCCGCGCCAAGGTGCATGCCCGGCCAAGGAGAAGGAGCGGGCACAGCGCAGGCAGCGTTGCTCCAAGGGACAAAGGGTGGGTTCACACCCTCCACGGCTACGGCTCCCGCGCCCAAGGAAGCCCGCCTGGCGGCCGGGGGTCCCCATCCCGCCGGAGTATGCGCGACGTGTGGGGGAGGGGGAGCCCGGCCGCCCCTCCCCCGCCGCGCTCCCGGAGACCTGTTGATTAAGATCTCCACAGCCCAGCCGCCGCCAATCCGCCTCTTACCTCCGCGCCCTGGCTCCGCAAGCCTCCCGCCCCGGCCGCTCCTAAGCACTGCAGAAGCGACAGCCCTCCGGCGGCCCTTAAAATACCGGATAAAGAATCCAGAAACTCCCGACTCCTCACCTCAGAATCCTTAGTCCCCGCCCCACAGCCAGCCTCCGCCGTCGCCGCCGCAGCCGCCAGCAACTCCACCTCTAGACCGCGCGAGACCGGCCCCTGCGGCCGCCGCGAGACCGCGCACGCGTCCCCGGGACTCTGGCTCAGCGGGCACGCTGGTCCCAGTCCCACCCCGCCCGTGAGAGGCTGTAGCGGCTCGCCCAATCCCTAGCCGGTGCGGAGAGAGCGCCCGTTCATTGGTCGTCTCCTCAGCTCCCGCCGGCTGCGCGCACTCGCGCGCCTCCAAGTCTAAAACGCGAACTGCTCGGGGCTGGCTGGCCCTGTGGAGCCGCTTCGGGGTTTGGTGGGCGGGCTCTGTGGTGTGGAGACGCTAAGGCTTCCTTGGAGCTTTACAGCCCTTGGCTCTTCTGTCTCTGGATGACGGTTTCTGAAGAAAATACGATCCCTCTTGAAGATATTCCTCGTGTCCTGTCAAGTTAGTCATACAATCTAACATTTGTTTAAAAAAAAAAAAATGACGTAAACACCTGGATGTGTGCAGTGTCCCGCAGAAGACTCCAGAATGCACTGACTTCTGAAAACCAGAAAGCAAGGATGGCAAGGGCTGGAGCTATTTCCCAGAGGTCTCCTGAAGAGACAAAGAGTTACGCAGGCCAGCCCATGCCCTGGGCACGGCTGGCACCCTCGGGACCTGGATGTGCCACCCTTGAAATGGGCAGGACTCAGGGGGGCTCGGGAGGAAGTCAGAACAGATTGGAGTACGTTCTAAGGAGAAATACCAGCAAATGTGTCTTGACACTTGCAATAAAGCCATCGGTTGGTCTCTGCCTTGACAGTACCTTCCGAGGAACCCCACCCCACCTTTGAACACGTGCAAGGTTTGTTAATCGACCTCTCCTATGGGGCCAAAATCTGCCTATGACTCCAGCCCAGGGGCACAGTCCTCCCTCAAAGCCTGCGGATATGCTATTTCTCACGATTTTCCTCATTTTGCCCCACCGCGCTTTTCCATCTTTCAATCTCCCCAGATCCTGACTTTCAAGTTCTTTCACATTCTTCCCCATTAGGCTCTTCTGGACAGCCTATAGGTTGTTAGTGTCCCTCCTTAGGGACACGGTGATGCCCTGAACGAAGCAAACCATTGCTCCTGCTGGTGAAGATTTTCGGGACGCCTACCCTTCCCAGATTTATCTTTCTCAAATCTGATCAGCATTCTGTCCAAGTGTTTAGTAAGACAGAGCCGAGGGCAGAACTCTGCTACATGCCTCTAAAGACCTTAATGATCCTGCCTTCAAAAATTTCTCAGTAGGCTTTGAGTACAGATGGACGGCACAACCAAAATGTCTTCTTGGCCCGTATTCCTCCACAAAGATGCCGTGAGAACTGGTGAAATGCCCAACTGAAATCCAGATAAAGTCTATCTCCAGGATTCCTAGAAACCATTAGCCATACCCCAAAAGAAAAAACGGTTAGTGTGTGTGACTTACTTTGTTTTCTAAGTTCTTTTGTTTGTTTTTGTTTGAGATGGAGTTTTACTTTTGTCACCCAGGCTGGAATGCAGTAGCACGATCTCAGCTCACTGCAACCTCCGCTTCCTGGGTTCAAGTGATTCTCCTGCCTCAGCCTCCCTAGTAACTGGGATTACAAGCGCCTACCACCAGACTCAGCTAGTTTTTGTATTGTTAGTAGAAACAGGATTTCACCACATTGGACAAGCCAGTCTTGAACTCCTGATCTCAGGTGATCCACTCTTCAGCCTCCCAAAGTGCTAGGATTACAGGCATGAGCCACTGTGCCCAGCCTCTAAGTTCTTAAGTATATAATATAAATAATAATTCAAGAAGCTTCCTTCAGCTCCTCAATAAATTCTTCTTTCTCTGGCTTATAATTTCCCATTTTTGGCACTATTGACGTTTGGGCTGGATAATTCTTGTGGGGAATGTCCTGTGCATCATAGGATGTTTAGGAGCATCCCCAGCCTCTGCCTACTAGGTGCCAGTAGCACCACCCTCCCCAATGTGACAATCAAAAATGTCATTACCGAAGGTCATGGGGAGAGATGGGCAAAATCACCTCCAAGGTAAGGACTGCAGATCTAGCTGTTCAAAGAAAGGACCTCTTTGGAAAGTATATCTTTATCTAACTTCCAATCTCAGCCCCAGGCAGTTTTGCAAAACAACAAGAAAACACACACACAAAAAAAAGCCTCCACCCAAATGAACACTCCAAGTAACTAGCCTTGATTCTTCAGGTGCTTAGATTCCTGTTACAGGACCCTACCCTAATAAAATGATTATTAATATGAGTGTGAGATAATAGAGCAGCTACTGATCTCAAAATATGTGAAAATTCCTTTATAAAGGGCTATAACAATTCAGACGGGCATTTTTTCAGGAACAGAGGCGCTATAAAAATGTTAGTTATGGACTGGCATGGTGGCTTACACCTGTAATCCCAGCATTTTGGGAGGCCAAGGTATATGGATCCCTTGAGCACAGGGGTTCAAGACCAGCCTTGGCAACACGGCAAAAACCCATCTCTACAAAAAATACAAAATTAGCTGGGCATGATGGTGTGTGCATGTAGTCCCAGCTACTTGGGAGGCTGAGGCAGGAGGATCATCTAAGCCTAGGGTGTTGAAGCTGCAGTGAGCTGAGATTACACCACTGCACTCCAGCCTGGGCAATAGCGTGAGACCCTGTCTCAAAAAAAGTTATTATTTTACCTCCTAAAGATATTTTCATTTTAAAAGAAGGCAGATCCTACAGCAAATAACAAATCTACTCTCTAGTGGGTCAGGTGCAGTGACTCACGCCTGTGATCCTAACACTTTGGGAGGCCAAAGTGGTAGGTTTGCTTGAGCCCAAGAATTGAAACCAGCCTGGGCAACATAGGGAGACCCCATCTCTACAGGAAAAATTTAGAAATTTGCTGGGTGTGGTGGTGCACTCTTGTAGTACTAGCTTCTTGGGAGGCTGAGATGGGAGGATCCCTTGAGCCCAGGAGGTCTAGTGAGCTGTGATTGTGCCACTGCTCTCCAGCCTGGGTAACAGAGGAAGACCCGTCTTTAAAAAAAAAAAAAAAAAAAAAAGAAAGGAAAAAGAAATCTGTTTTTTCTGGTGAATTGAGTCAATGCAAGAATCTCCAAGTAATACAAATTACTGGCATATATGTAAAAAGTGAAGAGTAGCTGAAAGAGAGAATGGTATAGAAATTGGAGCCATGGTGATTAGATTTGAATTTTAGCTTTGCTGCTAACTAGTTCTGTGATTTAGATGTGTGACAAGCTTCCTGGGTCCAAATTTTCTGATCTGTAATATAAAGCAGTTAACTACTTTTCCCCACTAGTTTTAGGATTCTGGTAGCCTCTGCATATAGACTCTAACATGGATAGCATAGGAGGTTAAGAGAAGATAATATTCATCCCAAAATAGAATGAAATGGGTAATCTGTGGTTTAAACCCCATGTCGGAAGGGCTGTTCATCCTTGTCAGGAGGCAGTTCACCTGCTGAGTCACTCTAACAAATTTGTAGCTAAATATTATGGGTGAGTAGTGAAAGCCTAACTGTAAAACCAGGTGTAAGGTAGATAGTTACCATAGTAAATACCGTCCCTTCTTCCTCATCTTGTCATCTGCTTAACCCATTGTCTATCAATATCCCTGATTACATGTTTATGTAATAAGATGCCATGCTATTTTATTTCATTAAAAGTTTTGGGAAGCCAGGCATGGTGATGTGTGTCTATAGGCCCAGCTAATTAGGGGGCTAAACTGGGAGGATCTTTTGAGCCCAGGAGGTCAAGTCCAACCTGGGCAACACAGGAAAACCCCCTTCTCTAAAAATTAAAAAAAAAAAAAAAAGTTTGGAGGGAAATATATTCATGTTGCACTTCAGCGACTTGTAAAAAGATCTGAAATTTTGGTTTTCAATATTCATTATTCCCTATTATATATGAAATCAAGTCTTAACTAGGGCTGTTATATCTCCTCTTTGTACTAGTGAAACCCAGGTCTTCACTAGTATAGTTTTTATAACCTGGCTTTCACTAGTACATCAGTGAATTAGCACTTAGAATTAGAATTTTCGGCTGGGCACGGTGGCTCACGCCTGTAATCCTAGCACTTTGGGAGGCCGAGGTGGATGGATCACCTGAGGTCAGGAGCTCAAGACCAGCCTGGACATCATGGTGAAACCCCATCTTAAAAAAAAAAAAGAATTAGAATTTTCATAGGTGAATTAGTAGCCTAATCACTTATAATTGTATGAACCAGATGATCAGAGAAATGTATAATAAAAGCGAAATACTCACTGACTCAGGTAAAAGAGAAGCTGTGAAACAAAAATCACCTACTAATACTAGTACTAGTAAATAAGTTGTTTTTTTTTTGAGACGGAGTCTCGCTCAGTCGCCCAGGCTGGAGTGCAGTGGCGCAATAGCTCACTGCAACCTCTGCCTCCCAGGTTCAAGTGATTCTCCTGCCTCAGCATCTCAGTAGCTGGGATTACAGGCACCCACCACCACACCTGGCTAATATTTTTTGAATTTTTAGTAGAGACGGGCCATGTTCAAGACCACCATCTTGACCAGGCCGGTCTCAAACCCCTGACCTCAAATGATTTCGCCCACCTCGGCCTCCCAAAGTGCTAGGATTACAGGCATGAGCCACCATACCTGGCCAAATATCTAAAATAAAAAAAATTTAAAAAGCAAACCAACAGACCATGAACTTTTCTAATTTAATTGGGTTTGTTATCATTTTTATTTTGATGTTTTATAGCAGAATTTAAACTTTCATAAATCTAGTTAAATATAGTATATCCCTAAGCTAAGAACATTATACAGTTGTTATGGAATGGAAGGTCCCACTATCTGCATCAGTGTAATTCAGTACAGGTCAGTATTATTCAACTTAATTGACTTTAACAAATGATTACTCATTTAATGGGCTAAACATTGTACTGTAGGCACTGAAACTTGTGTGACAGTCCTTATCCTG